TGGTGATGAAACCCACCCACAGGCATGTTGGCAGAAAGACTTGGCAATCTGATTCCCCCAAAACAGCCATTGAAGGCCTCATGGGACAGTCGCTACTCGGATACACACAAGGCAGCCATGAGTCAGAAGGGAATTTGAGAAAATGCTCTTTGTTTTTCACTTAACTCCTCTAGGCCTCATCTTTTTCTTCACTGGAGAATGGGAATAATAATTACACTAATCCTATGGAAGTGTCGTAGAGAGTAGAGGGAGTATGTGAGGTTCTTAGTCCAGGCCTGCTTTAAAGAATAGAGCCCTTCCTAATTCCAGTAGGTGGCTGAGGTGAACATGCAGTAGAAAGACCCCAAGAGACTGGGGTCGCATAATTGTAGAACTGGAGTCAAGCCTGCCACTTTTATTTCAGCCTTCTTTTTAACATGCTGCATTGCTTTTTAAATTCCAGACCCATGTGCATATGCAACAGTTGACTTTTACATCTGATGCAAAGTCAATAAATGCAGTTGTCAGCCCATACATTACATTAGGCACAGTTATGAGGCAGCACAGCTGAAGCATAAAGCCGCATATGAACACCCATGTGCCCTCACACCTGGATAAGCAGACATTTCTGTTCCAAATGTGACCCTTCTCAAAGGAAACCTTAGATTTATTTTGTGTATATCTTGTTCCAAGTGATGACTGGCCTAGCTGGTCATTTGCTCAGACTCCGTTTCCTTGCTGGTAAAAAAGAGATAATAATAGTATCCAACTTTCAGGGTGAAAATTAATTAAAATGTGTATGGGAAATCCTTATCACAGAGCCTGATATATAATAAATTCTTTTTTTTATTCCTTTGTTTTTTATTTACCATTCCTATCCTTTACGTTTGACACCTCTGAGAAGCCCAGATCTTCCCCTCATTGGCAACTATTTTTACATGCATACTCTGTTTCTTTATTCCTGCTTTGGTGTTTACATAAACAGCAAAGCATTTATTCTTTTTTTATTAAATGCTTTTATTGGGGCTCTTACATCTCTTATCACAATCCATACATTCATTCATCTATTGTGTCAAGCACATTTGCACATATGCTGCATCATCATTTTCACAACATTTTCTTTCTACTTGAGCCCTTGATATCAGCTCCTCATTTTCCCCCTTCCATCCCTCACCCTCCCTCATGAACCTTGATGAGTTAGATTATCATTTTCATATCTTATATCATAAATTCTTAATAACACTTCCAGGTTGGTGGTTCAAATCCAACAGCTGTTCTGTGAGAGAAAGAAGAGACTATTGCCTCCTGTAAAGATGTATAACCGCTAAGCCTCTATAAGCTAAGTCTCTATAAGCAGTTCCTATGAGCCAGAATGAGGGGTCCTGATTGTGAGGTGGTTTACATTTTGGGCTGCTACTGCTCTGGGAGGCTTACTACTCCTGGACAGAGTCACCGTCTCGGGAACCCACAGGAGCAGTTCTACCCTGCCTGTGGTGTTGCCAGGAGTCAGCATCTACTCGGTGACAGGAGTTATGTTTGGTTCATGAGTCTTAATAGTCTGGATGGGAGTGGATTTTTTTTTAAATTTCTTGTTTGAGTCCCATCACTAGAGTTAAGTCACTCAGAAGAGAAGCTAGGACAATGCTGGACACCTATCAAGTGTCCCACTAAAAGTGTGTGAATAAATTTGGCAGTAGACAAGGTACTGAGAGCCATGGGGAAGAGTAAGAGAAATACCTAAGTGAACAAAGAGGCAGGGAATGACTGTGGTTCCTTATCTCTCCCATGAACTTCTAAGTCTACCCCCAATTTATAGGTGTTTCTTTTAAAGGAGCAGCTGTCCAAAGGCAACTTGAGACACCCTGGCCAGTTTGTACAGAGCATAGGGAGTTTGACAGGAGCCTCTCTCTTCATGGGTGTGGGGTGGGGTGTAAACACAACTTGGCAGAAACCAAGTAACACCATGCTGGTCTTAGGTCCTGCTTCAGGCCAATTTCCGTCTCCAAACCTTCATCCCCAAACCCAGGCCAGCACCTCAATGCTCTCTAGTGGCCTAGTCAGTGACCTAATGGGTTGCAACTTGGGCTGCTATCGACGGACGCATTCTATGGGTCAAACTCATCACCTGCTCCACAGGAGAAAGATGATCCTTCCTACTCTTTTAGAAAGCCACAGGGGCAGTTCCTCTCTGTCCTGTAGGGTCACTGTGTCAGAATCCACTCAATGCCATTGAGTTTTGAATTCCTCTCCACCTATGAGATTCAGTGTTTCTATCCATCAGGTTCAGTCCAGGATGCCTTCCAACTCTGTGTCCTCGAGGACAAAGAAGCCTGGCAGGAGCTTACCAGGGTGAAATGAGTAACATATGTGAAGGCTTTTGCAATATAATGACTGGCACTGAGCAATAGCTCCATAAAAGTTCTTCATTATCATTATCATTATTGTTCGTTCATAGGTGTGTTGAGCACCTATACAGTTTGCCTGCCAATGTTCTAGCATTTTAAAACAAAATCAAACAGACCAGATTTCTACTTTCACGGTGCTGATGATATCACGGGGGTTCAGAAAATAAACAAAGTTCAGATGTTGAGCAGAAAAGGGAATAGTTGTGCTACAAAAGTAGTTGGCAATACGTTATACTCTTGGCGAGGCAGGACCCCCATCTGTTTTCTTTCATACTGTCCCTCTAGTACTTTTCAAAGAACAACCTCCCCTCCACCAAACCTCCTGTTATTGAGTGGCTTCCAAGTCATAGCAATTCTATAGGGCCCGAGTAGAGCTGTTCTTTGGGCTTCTCAAGGCTGTCAATCTTCACTGGAGCAGAAAGCCTCACCATCCTCCCAGAGAGTAGCTGGTAGGACAGAATTGCTGACGATGCGGTCCATATAATATCCTGATCTGTAACCCACACATCAGGGTTGGTGCCCTTTCATGTTGACTAAATTAATAAATGAATGTGGGTTTGAGAGGGGTGGGCAGTTTAATTTGGACAATGCAGGTTCTGGGGTGAGTGGTACAAAGTCTGGTGCTTATGGATGCAGTGAAGTCTGGGTTAAGATTCCACGCGGGTTTTTGTGAGGACTATAAATTTGTGAGTGAGCGCATGTCCTACAACAGAGAACGTCTGTGTGCATGTGAGGTAACATTGAAGTGAAGCATTTGAAGGACTGGACTGAGCATTTGTGAGGTAAAGCTGGTTTTCTGTGCAAAGATAGGCTTGCGATTGTGGTTAAGCTGGGCTTGTGCTTGTGTGTATGTGTTAGTCTGGGTAGACCAGAGAAACAAGTTCATACACATTCATCTGTGTATAAAAAAGAGCTTTATATACAAGAGCAAGTGAACATTGAGAAAACATCCCAGCCCAGTCCAGATCAAGTCCATAAGTCCGATATCAGCCTATATGTCCGGTGTCATTTGGTAAATTCCTCTTCAGACTCAGGAAACACATGAAGTGGCACCGAATGCAGGAAGATCACAGGCCAGTGGATGGAAAGTCTTGTGGATCCTGTGGCTGTGTAAGCATCTCAGTGCTGGAGTGGGTCTCCACGTGGTTCCTCCAGCCAGAACTCTGGCTCCATCAGGGGTCTCCCTGTGGCTTGTCAACAGCCAAGTCCAGCAGAGAGAGAGAGAGAGAGAGAGAGAGAGAGAGAGAGAGATAAAGACCTGCCTCCAGTGAGCTATTTATCTCCTTAGGGCCTCCAGAAGAGGTCATCAAGCTATGACCTGATTGACAGGCTAAACTCCACCCCTTCATTCTTAATCCTCTCAATGTGACAACAGATTATGTAACTGTGTGAGAACTTGACCTGGAGATTGTTAATTGAGGACAACAGTTTTGAGAGAGTAGTTTTGCATGGCGACATCTATGGATGTGTGCATGTCTGTGATCTCTAAGCTGGGAGGAAAACTAAGGCAGGAGAAACCAGTGTGTTGCTGTTAGTTCCGATGGAGTGGATTCCAACTCAGGGGAATCCCTGGAATACAAAATAGAACTGCTCTATCCTGCGTTCAAGACAGTGACCTTTGTGGCGCGGAACATCAGTGCTGTCTTCTTAGGCATTTCTGGGCGGCTTTGAACAAGGCACCTTTCAGTTACCGAGTGAGCGCGTAACCGTTTATGCTTCCATTTCCACAAACCGGGATTGTGCATATAAAGCGAGAAAAGGTTTTAAACCTTTACCCATTTCACAATAAAAAGAAAACATACAAACAAAGATGGGAATGAATTTGAGTATAAATTTGCGTGTCAAATACAGGTTCATGTGATTGTCAATGAGGTAATAGGGTTCGTGCGTGTGTGTGGATGTGTGTGTGTAAACCATTCCAAGAGGGAAAGTGGAAGGTACAGGTGTGTGTGGCAAATACTACAACTTCTATAATGAGGGCGAGGCGAGTCTGGAGTTCGAAAGAAGCCATCTTTAGAGTTGTGACTACAATAAACCTAAGGGTGTGTGTAACTTGGACTTGGCTTTGGGCTTAACACACGTGGGTCATGAGATGCGCGTTTGTGCGGCAAACTCTGGCGTTGTTCGTGGGAGTCAAGTTTGGAGGCGAGAGTCTTTCTGAGACACCTGAATCGTGTCTCCGTCCAGCAAGCAAGTCCAGGGGCCGGCCCTTGCGTGAGCAGGCAGGGTGTATGTGTGTGTGTGTGTGTGGTTGTGTGCGCG